CCTCCATGTGTTGAAATGTCTTTGCATGTTCTTGTTGCAATTGATTTCTAGTTTTATGCCATTGCGATCTGAGAAGATGCTTGATATGATTTCAGTCTTCTTGAACTTGTAGAGTTTATGCCGTAACATGTGCTCTATCTTTGAGAATGTCCCATGTGCACTTGAGAAGAATGTGAATTCTTCAGTTTTGGGGTGTAGTTCTCTGTAGATATCTACTAACTCCATTTGTTCTAGTGCTTCATTTAGTCTCTGTTTCCTTGCTGATTTTTTGTCCAGATGGTCTATCCAGAGATGTGAGTGGGGTGGTGAAGTCCCCTGCTATGATTGTATTGCTGTTGATTTCTCATTTGAAGTCCTCCAGAAGATTTTTTTTTTTTTTTTTTTTTATCCTCACCCGAGGACATTTTTCCATTTTTTGTACAGATAGAGTGGGAGGGAGAGAGAGGAAGGGAGAGAGAGTGAGAAACATTGACGTGAAGGGACACATCGAGTGGCTGCCACCCGCACGACCAACCGGGGCCGGGGACAAACTGCAACCGAAGTACGTGCCCTTAGCGGGAACCGAACCCAGGTCTCTCCGGACCGCAGGCCGACACTCTAACCGCTGAGCCAAACTGGGCAGGGCCTCCAAAAGATTTTTTATATATATTGGTGCTCTTATATTGGGTGCATATATGTTTACAAAGGTTTTATCTTCCTGTTGGATAGATCCTTTTAAGATTATGTAGTAGCCTTCTTTGTCCCTAGTTATGGCCTTCATTTTGAAATCTACTTAATCACATATGAGTATTGCTACCCCAGCTTTTTATTCCCATCCTTTCACTTTCAACCTATGTGAGTCTTGCTTTCTTATCCAGTCAGCTACTCTGTGTCTTTTTATCGGAGCATTCAAACCATTCACATTTAAGGTGATAATTGATATTTACTAATTTATTGCCATTTTTGTTTAGTGTGGTTCTGTTTTTCTTCCTATTTCTTCTACTAATTACAGCAGTCCTTTTAGCATATCTTGCAGTGCTGGTTTGGTGTTAATATATTCCCTTAGCCTTTTTTTTTTGTCTGGAAAGCTCTTGATTTGACCTTCTATTTTGAATGATAGCCTTGCTGGATAGAGTAGTCTTGGATTCCGATCCTTTTTCTTTTTTTTTCATGACCTTGATTACTTCATGCCACTCCCTTCTGGCCTGTAGTGTTTCTGTTGAGAAGTCAATTGAGAGCCTTATGGGATTTTCTTTGTAGGTAACTTGTTGCTTATCTCTTTCTGCCTTTAGGATTCTCGCTTTGTCTTTAATTTTTGGCATTTTAATTACTATGTGTCTTGGTGTGGGCCTGTTTGGGTTCTTCTTACTTGGGGCTCTCTGTGCTTCTTGAACTTGAATGCCTTCTTCCTTCACCAAGTTAGGAAAGTTTTCTGTCACTGTTTCTTCAAATATATTCTTTAACACTTGCCCATTTTCTTCCTCTTCGGGGACTCTTATGATGCGAATGTCATTATGTTTCCAGTTGTCCCACAGTTCTCTTAAGCTGTCTTTCTATTTTTTAATTGTTTTTTGTTTTTTTTTTTCTGATTGGTTGATTTTTTTTCTACCTTGTCTTCTAATTCATATTCGGTCTTCAGCTTCCTCTACTCTGCTGGTTAGTTCTTCCAATGTGTTATTAGTTTCTGCTATGTCATTCTTCATTTCAACTTGGTTGGTTTTCAGTGCTCATGGTGCTGATGTCCTTACTCATGCTGTTGAGCTTCCTCGTGATCATGGCTCTGAACTCTACCTCTGATAATTTGCTTAGCTGCATTTTATTTATCTCATCTTTGATAGAGTTTTCTTGTTCTTTCTTTTTGGATTTGTTTTTTTGTTTCACCATTTTGGCTATCTCAGTGGGGTTTGGAGCCTGCCAAATTATCCCTGTGGGTGTTGGTGTTCTGCTGTTTGTGGCTCCCCCTGCTGGGTTTGGATGAGCGTTGGGTTTCCCATATTAAACACCACTGTCAAGTCTTACTTTCCTGGGTAGATTTGCAAGCCCAGGAAAGGTTCCGTTATCCTCTAGCTTTCTCTTGGTGGCTGGTAGTCTCAGTTACTCAGTACCTTGGAATGTAGTCCTGGTGTTCTGCCTAAGAGGTTTTCCAGAGGGTGGGATAGTGCTGCTTGTTAATGAGCCTCAATTTGCACTTCTTTCCCTCACCTTGGAGGGGCTGAATCTCCGAGGGGGTTGCTGCTACTTTTCCCTATAGCTCTGGGAAGGAGCACACTTGCCACCGTCCTTTGTGGCTGCAGCTCTGCAAAAATTCTGAGTGCCCTCCATATCCCGGTGGTCCCCACAGAGTTTCAGCCCCGTCTGCGGTAGCCTTCAGGTGAGTGGCTGTGGCTATTTTAAGGCTGTGTCCCGGCTCTCTGGGCTGTGGAGCGGGCTTGGTCTCTATTCCCCAAGGGCGCTGCTCACAGCTAAGACTGCTGCTATGGGCTCCCGGCCTGCCACCCTCTCGCACCTCTGCAGATCCTACCAGTGTCCCTGGTTATATGGTCTTATCCTGGTGCTTATTTGGAGGATTTGTCTTTATTTTAGTTGTATTTCCCATTTGGTTTTAGGAGATAGTCTGTGTAGCTTCTTTTCATTCCGCCTCCATTTTTACATCCTCTATGCCTATCTTGTGAGAAGCTGGGTTGCACAGGCCTCTCTGGTGCCCCCACACCCTGCAGGTCCTGAGGGTGGGCAGCTGGATCACACCAGTCTCTCTCGGGCTCCAGCTTCCCACTCTCGTGAGCTGCTGGACCGCACAGGCCTCTGTGGAGCCCCAGGTCCCACCGCTGGTGGCTGGGGAGTGCTGCTGCCCCCTGGGGGTCAACTCCTGCCCAACTTTTGCTGTAGTTTTTGGGGATGGGTCTCACCTGCTGGTCAGTGCTTCTGCTCCCTGGGGATGGATGTCTGTTCCCCAGCCTCTGTTGCTGGGGGTCTATCTGGACTCTGATGGGGCTGCTACTATGGGGGATGGTGCTGGGCTCCGGGCTGTCTGTGGCTTCTGCAACCAGCACCTTGGCAGCTCCACTACTGTGCACTGGTCTGTGTTGACACAGAGTGTCCACAGGTCCGATGGTGCCAGGTGCACTGGTGGCTCAGTTGCTGGGCCCCAGTCGCTCCCACTGCCTCCTCCCAGGGAAGACCCGGGATCTTCCAAAGTGGTGGGACCTCCCCGTGGTGCAGAGAGAAGCGCCCTGAAGGGCCACTTATCGAGGAGCCTCCCGTCCACAGCACAGGAACCTTCTGCTCCATGTCTCTGCACTGCTCGGGTTTGGTCATCCACCTTCACGTCCACTCACACTCTCTCAGGTCCTGCCTGCCACCATCTTGACTAGTTTGGACATTTTAATGGGGATATTACATCATTTTAAAGGGTCAATCCAAGAAGAGGATAAAACAATTGTAAATATTTGCAACATAAGACCATACAAGTATATAAAGCAAATGTTAATTGTCCTAGAGGCAGAAATTAATGATTATACTATAATAGTTAGGGACTTTAATACTCAAGTTACCTTAATGAATAGATCATTCAGAGAGAAAATTAATAAGGAAATAATAACTTTAAATGCCATTGTTGTTACATTGGAGGAGTTATTTATATGTGTTGGATGTTAATCCCTTATTGGATATATGATTTGCAAATATTTTCTCCCCTTCCCTGGGTTACATTTTCACTCTGTTGATAGTATTCTTTCATTTACAGAAGTTTTAAATTTTGATAAAGTCCGGTTTACCTATTTTTCCTTTTGTTACCTGTGCTTTTAAGGTGCATGTCTAAGAAATCATTGCTAAATTCATTGTCATGAAGTTTCCCCTTGTTTTCTTTTAAGAGTCTTATTGTTTTAGCTTACATTTAATTTTTTATTATGATGTAAGGGTTTAACTCCATTGTTCTGCTTGTGGATATTGAATTTTCCCCACACTATTTGAAAAGACTCCTTTCCCCATGGAATGGTATAGACACCCTTGTTAAAAAATCATCTGACCACATAATGAGATTTTATTTCTGGGCTCTCTGTTCTATCCCATTGGTCTATATATCTCTCTTTATACCATCACTATACTGTTGTAATAATTGTAGCTTTTTAGGAAGTATGAGACCTTCAGCTTTGTTTCTCTTTAAAACTATTTGGATATTCAGTCTCTTGAGATTTCATACGAATTTTAGAATGGATTTTTCTATTTTAACTAAAAACATTACTTCTAGTTTTATACCTCAATCTCATTAAAGTAAACACATCACCCAGCCGGTGTGGCTGTTGAGCGACAACCCTTGCACCAAGAGGTCGCTGGTTTGAATACCGGTCAGGACATGCCCCGGTTGTGGGCCAAATCCCCAGTGGGGGTGTGCAGGCGGCGGCCAATGGATGTTCTCTCATCAATGTTTATCTCTCTCTAAAAAATGAAAAGGAGAAAAAGGGTAAACACATCAATTTGAGGAATAGTGATTGCTTTAAACTTAACTGGATCTCAGTCTTTCCATGTAGTAGTTCTCATGGTCTTAAGAGGTCTGTATTTTCCTGTAACTGAGGGTAAATAGAGCAAAAAAAGCCAGAAAGAGGAAGATATAGGCAATTTAAAAGGGAACCCAGTGTCACAGAAATTTGTTGAAAGGATGTGTAGTATAACTTTTTTTATTTGCCATAAAATTAATTTGAAACAGATCTAAGATTTTTCTGTAATTCGTGAGCTTTCATATTTGACCTATATAACTAAACCTTGAGATCATATAATGGGCTGTGTTTAATTATAACTTATTACCCTAATCAACCTGAGACTGTAAAACTTGACATCTGATTTATCTTTCTATTAACGTGGCAAGTAAAGGTTCTGATTTTTTAATTATTATTATAACATATCTCTAAAGAAGACCTTTCTAGGCTACTGCTGTGTCTTCTTCCAGAATTGTTCCTAGTTTTATGGTATTGTCCAAATAAACATTTTGGATATATGTATCTGTTATATTGGCTTTTGTCTTCCAGAATCTCTACACAAGGAAGTACAGGATTTGGCCTTTCTAGATGTTGTATCCAAACTTCGCAGTCATGAGAACAAAAGTGTTGCCCAGCAGGCCTCTCTCACAGAGCAGAGACTTACTGTGGAAAGCTGAGACCTGCCCTCCCTGATACATGGCATCCTCCTCATCTGGTTTCCCTTTGTCCTCCATCCAGCTGCCTCTTCTGCTCCATTCTCTTCCATATCACTCGTGCATGCGTGTAATGTTTCAATACTAATTGAAGAATTCTGTAGGTACCTGCCCAATAAGATTTCTAAACCCATAGTTAGTGTGAACACGAATTTGTCAAAAACAAGTCTCCACCCATAACTGTTCTCTTGTATTCCTGTTGCTTGAGCTACATTAAGTAGAATGTGCATGTTATAGTCCTATGATGATGTTAACTTGGTACTACATAATGACTTGCTCCTCACACTTGGCAAACTATATAATAATGTACTGGTAAATTAGAAAGAAGCAAGAATGCAGCAGGATCTGTCTAGCTTATTAGAGATGATATTGAATAGTAAAAATAGCTCCATTTTTTGGTGCTTGGTAAGCACAGTGACCAAAAAACTGTATGGCTGTTCATTCATTAGTCTTACCTACTAATGTCAAACTCATGGTACCTAGAGTTAAATAAAATCCAGTGCTCTCACTCTTTACCCTATGGTTTCTCCTTCTTCCTAACTATGTAGACTCTGGAAACTTTCAGAAACTTGGCAGAACTTACGCGGGTTTTAATTTCATGTATAAATGGCTATCCTCAGTAGTAGCCTGATGTTGAAAACATTGGTAGTTTTCAGCATGAAACTAAGGGATTGAAGAATCTATTACACTAGTACATCTTGGTTTTGGGGGGGAGCTGTATTTTAGATTCTGCTTATATGTATAGTTTCACCTCAGAACTTTTTCCATCAGTGAATCAGGGTTATCCAACACTTGTCTTTAAAAGTCACTTTGGCATTTGTTTTCAAGAAAATTGAGTATAGCTTATTGGAGACTGGATTTTTTTTTTCCTGTTTTTCATCATTCAGCTCAAAAGCAAGAGGTTTCTTCTCATAGCCCTTTTAAATCTTATATTAGAACTAACAGGACATGGGGGGGAAATTAAGAAATAACTTTGTCTAGACTCAAGAAAGGAAGCAAGTTATAAAGCCATAGTAGCCAGTCCAGTTCATTCTGCAGACGTTCTCGTCCCAGTGGGGTTAGAGTTTCCTGCCTGCACGTCCCACAGAGAACTGCAGCCGATCTTACAGGCTCTCAGAAAAGGTGACAGCGCGGACTCTGGACAGGAGCAACCCTCCTTGGAGACACACTGTACTCTTCACTGCCACTTCTACCACCAAATGAATTTTTAGAGCTTTGAAACACAGTCTTTGTAAATTAATTCAAAACATCCTGTGACTTACCTGCCTTCTCCCCATGCCCAAGTTTGACCAGCACTGGCTGAAAGTAGAATGAGTTCCAGTACGGAAGGACTGCAGGACAGAATGGGCAGCCAGGAGTACAGAGGCGCCCTCCTGTCCAACGTGAGATGGTGCACATCTCTAGGGTGATCGAAGTGGGATCACTGACTCTGAAATAGCTATAATTCAAGGAAGTTAAAACCCCAAATGGAGGTAAAGAACCCTTTGACTGATTATTCCCTTTGGTGCCCAAGAAAGGGACTGTTACATGCTCCACTTGCCATAAGAATGATTTTGTCTTCTCCTGGGCTGGATAGTGGACTATATTTTATTATAGTTTTGAAAGACATCTGTAATGTTGCATAATAGACTGTCCATATTAATAACTAAATAAATTGTATATCAAACTGTAATGGCATCATTTGGTTTGTTCGTATATTTTACTTCTATTTTCATTTCCTAGAACAGCACTTACTCATTGTTGGTGCTCAATAAGTATTTGTTGAATGAATTCCTATTTCCACGGAACTTCTATACTGCCTAAACAAATTCTAGATAGACTGCTAGCGAAATTGAGATTAAGGTATTTGTCTGACTTCACTGAATTTTTTTTTATGGAAAGATCCATCCTTGTTAAAAAGCATTTTATAGAAAATCTCAGAACAAATGCATCCCAAAGTCACAGATTTGAGAGAAGCCACCATGTGGGCCAGCTGCCAGCATCAGTTTGCTGATATGCTAGAAACTCTTGCCTCCAGCAAAACAACGTGCAGTTCAAGTCACCAGTTCTGCCGAGAGACCAGAAGGCTGTGCCCTGTGGTGACAGGTCCACCACACTGAGTGATACGCTGCTATGCCAGGCAGTGGGTAGGAGCCCACAGACAGTACTGTCCTTTACCTCCTAAGGCTTAATAGAGGCTACCTTTAAATTAGTTTGCTGCCCACTAAGAGTGCATCCTAAGGTAGAGAATGGCAGGAGCAGCACCACAAAGCTTGAATTATCACCTTGTGCCAGGACTAGAACACAGATGAAAAGCAAAAAAGCCAGCACAGAGAGGGAAGATGTCTGAGCAAAATGCACTAGAATGTCCCCTCTCTCCCAGTGGCATTAGCTCCTTGGAATCCTGTTAACCTTCACCCAAATAGTAACCTTGTTATACTCAAAGCCAAATTGATTAAATACTGGCCCATAATCCAGTGTTTCCCATGTTAAAACCTGCTTTGCACGTACTGATAACAATGGAGATGTGGAACAACATTTCTCGGTTCCAAAACGATTTCCTCTTGGATGGAATAGAATGCAGCTCTCAGATATAAGCATTAGTGTGAAGGGTTCTGAGAAACCCTGCATGTGAACATTTAAAAAAGAAATGCTCTTTGGTATCATTAGAAGGCATATTATCTAGTTCTGCTGAACATATGGGGTGAAGATGCGTATTACTTAGGTAATCATTACCCTTTATACCCAGCTGTTAATAGAACCAGTACGCTTAAAAGCCACTTCTTTACTCCAGGAAGACGTACCATTTGAATTATACAAGTGTCTATTAAAAAGCACTTAATGATATTTGGGATGAATCTTCATAGCTGTAACCAGGAAAATTGAAGTGGTTCCCTCCTGCCTCCCAAAGATTGAGATCTCTTACTTTACATACCTACGTGCATAATTATATATATACTGTGTAGTTTCACAGATTCACGTTTTATAGGTGTGTCTGAAGTGTGATATTTCAAAAGTGTGATAGGTGCAAAGCACGAGGTCTTTGGATACCGTCTGATGCATATAACATCCTGGTTCTGCTCGTCACCAAATGACTTACGCTCTGGGCCTTTCTCATTGGTATGATGAGTTTAATAATCCCCACTTACCAGTGTCTCTGTGACAACTGAAACTTAGAAGTTGAAGGTAAAATTGGATGGAACTGTGACACCTTGTGGCCTAAACTACACTCCCTTGTCCCCCCTGCAGGATTCCCAGCAAAAGGAATTCAAAGAGCCAGATGGGAGACAGTATGTCTAGTAATAGTTGAGAAGCACTCGGTTATCAGTGCAGAATGCATAACCCCTTGCTTCCCTCCCCTAGAGACCAAGATGGCCAGCTCTGCAGGGCAAGACTTGCATGTGGGTCCCCATGAGTACTTCCTCTTCCTGTCTCAGGTCTCCTCATCTGTCAGGGGGGAACCACAGCAGCAGCTCGGTAATCTTAGATTTTATCGTTACTAAGTCGATCTTCCTAAAGCTGTGGTATTAGGAGTTTTTTCCTCAATGTAGAAACAAAACAACCCCCCTTCCCGCTTTCAGTGCCGCCCAGTTATTTTTCAGTATATATACCTTTTTACATACATACCTGTTCGTGTATGTCTTTGTCTTAAGGAAAATGGTATGTGTTTTGCAGGCTGTTCTCTGCATCCTCTAAGAATCCACCTGTGATGGGCTGTTTGTCATTAGGCATCTCGACTGGACAGGCAGAGTCCCTTTCATGGTGGAGGTTCCCAAGGGTGACTGTTCTTCACATACCATGAATGGTCAGCTACAGCTTTTGAAGGAAAAGAATGAGCCTTGCTTGGAATTTATGCTCCTTTCTAAATTTAACTAATTTCTTATTCTTTCCTTCATAGTTGACAAAGTTCATTATTTATTTCCTTATCCTCACTTTGATTCTCTCTAGAAAAAAAGAAAAACTTTTACCAAAACTGTCTAGCTATGGCCACAGAGATTAATGACATTTCAAAAATGGACCTTATACTCCTATTTATAACACTAGATAGGAACTTAGTGTAATGACCATTCATATACTGGAACCCATTATAATTAGACCAGACTTAGGCCATGTGGGTATTGATACCCACAATTCTCCTCTTGTTCGTTCCCTCAGTCCCTTACTTTCCTACTGCGATGTCACATTTGTCCAAAGAGAGGTGTAGATGGTGTCCCACTTCCTAAGGAAACCAGAGGGTCAGAGTGGGGTATGAACCACCCTGTTCTCACAAGCGACCTCACTGGTTTCTCTGGTCCCCAACGTGATCAATGCAGCTTTCAAGGAAGTAGGTGGAGCCAGTCGAGCGGCTGAGGCATGGAAATGGGGGCTCAGGGGAGAAGTGACTTGAATCAAATACTCTATACATGGCTTTCACCTTCACCCCCGACCTCAGAACACATTTTTGGAATGTGTCCATGCTCGGAGATCTGTGGGTTTTCTGGTAGGCAGGTGCACAATGTTATTTTAATCTGTTTAGTCATATAGAGTTAAATCTACATTCAGTGGTGTGTAGAACTTCATAATGTTTCATTGGTTTTGGTCACATATAGAGAGAATTTTCCATTTCAGGATTAGGTTGTAAGAAAATTAGCTAGTTTTTTTAATTCTCAAGGAAACATAAAACCTAATTCTGTCATACTTTGAAGTCTCCTTGTTTCAGGTTTGGAATTTTTTTTTTAATTAAAGAATTTTAAAGGTCTTTATTGGATTTGTTATCTTAAGATAAAAAATTCTAAAGCCTTAACCCAGACTTCCAGTATATAAACTTTAAATGTAACAACAGATCTTTTAATAATATATATACAATCTATTTTCAAGTGAAATTGAGAGACATCACTTACGGTCCCAGTAGTTACTTTGTCACTTACTGATTCCCAAGAATCCTGAAGAATTCTGAGGAAAAGAAATTCTGAGTGTACCCTCAGATTACTGTCAAAACTATATCCGTATATGAGCACTCACTTTGAATTTTATGACCATATCTACTTGGTTAGTTGGTTTGTCTTTGAAAGGCTGCCACGTCCAGAATAGAGCTAGGCCCTCCGCTGGGCCACTGCCCTCATGGTTCCCTGCACTCAGAGGAAAACCCTGATAGACGTTTCACTGTGCTCTCCCGAGGTCAGCATCGCCCGCCACGAGGCCCAGAGGTCAGCCAGCTATTGACCTTGTCCTCCTCTCAGAGCTACTGGGCTCAGCTTCACGGGGCTCAGTCCTTCTCCATGTCTAGCACAGGCACATTAGACAAATACCTATAATTACTGAGAACTCAGGAAGGAGTGGAAGGTTGAAGCATACTTTAAGATAATATAAAGCCTTGCCCGGCTGGTGTGGCTCAGTGGTTGAGCGCTGACCCACGCACCAAGAGGTCGCCGGTTCGATTCCCGGTCAGGGCACATGCCCAGGTTATGGGCCCTATCCCCAGTGCGGGGCATGCAGGAGGCAGCCAGTCGATATTCTCTTTCATGGATGTTTCTATCTATCTCTCCTCCCTCTAAAAATCTGTAAAGACAAAATATTAACAAAATAATAATAAGATAATATATAGCCATGAAGATTGCAACTCAACACAAGAAGACAAAGAGCTTCCCTAATCAGGGTAAGACATGAGTGGCTTGGACTTCACACCCATCTCTGCAGGAATCCAAACAGTCCCCGATTCCAGCGGGAGCCGGCCATCAGCGGACAGTCCCTCACCTGTCCCTCCCTTCTTGAGGCCCCAGAGTGCAGCCTGCGCCCCCCCCCCCCCCCCATGCCTCTCCTGCAATGCCTCCCTTTCTCTTGCAGGTAAGAAAGGTAGAGGAGGCGTTAGTAATGACTCACATTCCACTCTTCACCTACACCTTTCACCCCCTGGTGCCCAGAAGTTAGGGGAAGCCACACAGCCTGGTGACAGCTTCACAATACCGCTGTCAGTGCCTGCTGATCCTCTGCTTTCTCTCCCGTGTCTGCCCCCGCCCCCAGCTTTCCCCAGCCACAGTGGTCAGAGCAGGGTGTGCAGCGACCAAGGAAAGGCAGCTGCTGCAAGGGGACGTTGCCCGAGCACATGGATGCTTGTCACCCGACCTGACGGCCCTTCCTCTGTGAAGCGCAAGCTCGGCTGAGCCTGTGAGGACCGTGTGCATGTTTCACGTGGTTGAAGTATGCCACGCGGAGCTACACCCCCACCCCACTTATATAACATGCGTTTTTTCCACACGACTAAGAACTCTAGTTCATAGACCTCATTTTTAATTGTTGCATATTCTTCAACTGTACGGATGTCCCATAATTTACTTGGCCATTTTCTCATATAAGGACATTTAAGATGTATTTTGGATTTTGAAAAACAAACCCCAAATGCCAAGTTATGAGCATTTGCAGATGCTAGGGTAGTTTCTAGACTAAAAATGATGTCAGTCCCTCACTTCCTGGCCCTAAACCTAAACAGCCCCATTGCATTCTTTCTCGGGGCTCCTTATCAGTTGCTCAGTGTGACGTCTGCACCCTCCGATCCATCTGTACCTGTCGCCTCCTGGACACTCAGTGCCCCTGCAAAGCCCTCCTCACCTCCTGAGGTGGCAATTTTCAACCTTTTTCCTCTGGTGGCACACACAAACTACTGAAATTCTGCACCACACTGAAAATTACAGTTTTT